TCCTCACGCCCCGTCCCGCCTCCCGCTTACGTTTACCCCCAATCCCCGCCGCTCTCGTCGGCGACGCCGCCGCAGTCCACGCGGATTATCTACTCCCAGTCCCTCGGCCAGCCCAACTCGACCTTCTACCCCCCGCAGAACATGATCCTCTTCAACTCCACGCCTTTCCCGAAGAAAGGGGACCTCTACTTCTCCGGCGGCCGCTCCTTGGACGAGCTTCTCGGCGCCCTTTTGCAGCCTTTCGGGCCGATTGATAAGATGGAGCGATCCGGACAAGAGGGGATGAGCATCCGGATGAAGGATTTAACCCAGCACCCGCTGATCGCGCAGCAGCTGAATGGAACTGTGTTTGCAACTGGCGAGGTACTTTGTGTAGCCGTATATGCTTAGGTATTTGAGTTTTTACGTGATTCGGTGGCGTTTTTTATTTTATTTTCATCTCATATACTTAAGTATCTTGGAAATAAAGATTAAAAAATAAATGGGGGGGGACTGAAAAAACAATACACAAGGGCGATATTTAAAAGGATTCATATTGATCCTTTGTATCTGTGCGTGCTTCAACTTCAGTTTTTAATTTGAGCTCAACTGTAACATAAAGTGTATAAAATGAATGTTTTTGGTAAAAAAAAAAGAATCGATCTTATTTTTGCCTTTAGTTGTAATTTTTTACATTGTGTTTTGCCCGCCATGAAATAGCGATTTTATGGTCTTCCGCATATATCTAAAGAAAGGGGTTACCCTTTCTTGTCTGTCAGATGTATCCTCGCTACGTTTATGTTGCTCTCTTTCCCCACCCCACCCTCTGAAGCTGATTTTCTATGTTGTAATTTCAATCTTCATTAGTAAAGGTCCCTATAGATCCAAAATGAAAACAGAAATTGCCAATGATATCTCTGACAATACAAGCATTCTAAAGATTTGGGGTATCTTGATTTCCCTTTGCTGTGTCATCACCGCAACATTCTACGTGATTATTGGTCTGTTTCTTTATAGAAAACTGATGGCGGAAAAGGTGGGCCTGCTTATTCTTATCCCTGTCTTTGCACTTATAGGTGCACTACACGCATTTTTTTACCTCGGAGCCATGTGCATCGCGATTGGGTGTATTTTGAATGTCTTTGGACGTGGTGTGGGTATCCTTCATGCGGCTGTGTTTTCGTCCATTATGTCCTTTGTGATTATTTCCCTTGCCATGGGAAGGAAAACACAGTTGTACGCTTTTTGATCTTGTCATGTGTGTTCAGTACGACGTGGTGGAAAAGGAGGGAAGCGGATCGATTCTCCCTTCCCTTTCACCGTCCATTCACAAGGAAGGATGCTGTGGGGTTTGGTTAAAGACCCTGGTCTCGTATCAGGAAAGAATTGGAAACTGTGCGTTTGACACCCGCCAAAAAGTCAGTTTTCCCCGTTTTTCTTGTATGAAGGTCTGCATGGTGCTTACAAAAGCCCTCCTGTTTAAAACCCTAAGCGTAGTGAATCCGCATATACCACTCTGGGGGTACATTGTACCTTTGGCGTGAGATCCAAACGAACAGGCATACATGTATTGCATGGACGCATTGGATGGTTGCGAATGCATAGCGACGATATTTAGCATTCGAGCCTTACAAATTTCAATCTTGTTTATGACCGAATTGGCTCCTCAGGTTGCCCGTCGCCAATCCTAATAAGCACTAACGGCTGGAATCGTACTCAGGTATATATTTTTTCTTCTGTCAATGACGTGGAATTACGCCAGAAGTCCTAGCCAATCCCATAGATGTCAAGAACTCGATGAACTCTAGGGGGAGTTCCCTTCTTAAATACGTCGCCTCCAATTTTGGGGTGAATTCAGTCTGGATAAGCTTGCTACGCCTATGGAGCATTCCATCTCAAACTCTCACGGAGCCCAATCATGTCGGCTTGGGGAAAAGTCCGACTGCATCTGAATTCCTCATGTTACGTCAGGGGTTTTCCTGTTGTCTCCCTACAAACTGGCAGACCGATTCATCAGACTGAGTTAGTGGAAGCACCCTTAGGCACAAATCCAATGACCTTTCTGTTTAATTAACGACAGCAAAGGAACTATTTGTTTGGTATTATTTCAATACAGATGACAACTAGCCCGCTAATATTAGTAATCACGATAACATGTTCGCATGGATTAACTCCATGTACCGTGTTCTGCTGTCATGTTGAATGAGTATGTAAGTGTTATCTTCTTACTTTTGAATTCTTCGAGAAGTCTCTGGAATACTTTATTCTATATTTTTTTCCTATGATGTCTTTATTGCTTTGAATAACTGTTCCTAAACACAAGTGTTTGGCAATTACTGAATTAATAAACCACTTAAACTTTTTTTTTCGTTACGGCATGCCTCGTCGCAGGGGCATTCTGACACTGAAGTACATAAATTGTTTACGCCAACTACTTTTCAACAATGCGCTTTGTTCCCTTACTGCATAACACGAATCTGTAGTCTTTTTACCCCTTAATGGGGCCAACTAAACTTTCTGAAGATATTGCAACGCTTCTAGAAGCAAACGGGGCATTGAGAAAGCACCTCCTAGAGTCCCTGAGACGGGTTGAATGCGAGCTGTTTTGGGTTGGGTTTCTCAGGGCCGCGTTGGGGAAAGGCTTCCGCAGCCGTAAGAAACGCCGCGCGTCGTCGGCGAGTCCGCCGGCCAATCTCCCGGCGTTGCTGGGGGTGTCGGGAAAACGGAAGAAGTGGGGCCTGCCCACGCAGCGCTGCCTCTTGGCCATCGCCGATGACCTCGCCCC